CCATGCTGTGTCTGTATTAGTTGAGGAGCTGAAGAGATATGTACAGTGACCTTAAAACAGATGTGTTGTATCTTTTAAAGTGGAAATTTATGTAAAACAGACTTAATCCTGTTTGCATCTTCCATTGATCATGCTGTCCACAGAATTGACAGCATGATCCAGATACAGAGATGAAAAAATAAAATAACCCTCACTTCCCTGTGAGGGTGCTGAGGCCCTGGCACAGGGTGCCTAGAGAAGCTGTGTCTGCCCCTGGATCCATGGAAGTGTTCCAGGCCAGGCTGGATGGGGCTTGAAACACCCTGGGACAGTGGAAATTGTCCCTGCCCACAACAGGGGGATGGAATTAAATCATCTTCAAGGTCCCTTCCAACCCAAACCATTCTGTGATTGTATGAATGCAGCCACAGTTTCTCAGCATTTATTTTCCTGTCCTGAGGGACCTTATTAAATTTGAGCAATCCAGCTGTCTGAAGAGAGGTTTTTGCTGTCTCTGTGTAGCAGCTTCTGCTCTGTATCACCAGAGCCACCAGCAGCATTTTCAATTTCCCTTGCAGAAAGGACAGGGAGCCCCGGGGCGGGAGCCTGTGCTCAGCCACGAGGAGCAGAAGGAGATGATGCTGTACTACTACAGGAAGCAGGAGGAGCTGAAGGTGGGTGTGTGCCCGTGGTGCTGGGCTGCTCTGACAGGACAGGCTCAGGCTGTGCCCTCACTGCCTCCCTCCCTCTATGCCACAGAAACTGGAGGAGGAGGACGACGACTCATTCCTAAATGCGGAGTGGGCGGACAACCATGCTCTGAAAAGGCAATTTCACGGTGTCAAAGACATCAAGTGGGGTCCAAGATGAAGCTCTGCACACCCCGTCCTAAGCTGCTCGGTTGATGCTGTTGTTTGCAGCAAGGAGTTGTGTTGTGTGTGGTAGATTCCTCAGACAGCAGCTGAAAGTGTCACTTCTGTGGCCTTAGATGTTCAATAAATGTTCCTATTTCTCTGTGACTGCAGCAGCGCTTTCCTGTGCAAAGAAATGAACAGATTCTCCTGATGTTTGGCATTTTATTTGAAACTTGTAATTTTGATATGGAAGTGTCAATCTGTTTCATAGGTAAGAGATGTAGTAAATATGCACTGGAGTGTTTGGTGGCATTCAGAGTGCTCTTTATACTCTCTTCTCACTCTTGCATTGCTGTTGGAGAAGGTAATTTATTTTATAGGAAATCAGTTTGCCCTGATTAATCCAGGGAGATTTAAGGGTTTTTTATGTGCTTGTTCACATTTCAACATAGCGCTTTCCAAACTGTAATTTTTAAATGAATTAACTTCTTAATAATTGTTTAAAGGAAATGTTTTTATATAAACACCAGTGACATCCTCGTGCTTCGTTTTCATTCTTTGGCTTTAGTTTTTCTTGCTGGTATATAGAGGTTGAGAGTCATTTGTGTACAAAAATAAGCATCATTTGCAGGTAGACTGGATAAACCCAAGTTTAATAGGACCAGATCTTTTAGGATGGAAGTAAAAAATCATCATAATTTTCTTTATGAGTTTGGTTGAAGAGACACCGATCAAGTTGAAAGCCAAGTGTTTGCTGAACTCGCAGCTTGAGGACTGGATGCAGAACAGGTAATGAATGTCATTCACTGAACTATTCATGGTGCTTTTACTGCAATCACTGATTTTTTTATTTTCAGGGAAGTTTGGTGTCTGGTAGTTTTTCTTGAATCTCAGCTTTACAGTAACATGACTTTTTACTAAAGGAAAAATCAGCATTTCTGAGTTGAAAAGCTTCAAATATTTTTAATTTAAAACTTATTTGGAATTATTTCACATGGCAAAAAAGGTTCTTGAAAAAACACTTTGTTCTTCTGCTTCCTAAGAGGAAAATCAATGTCCTGGAGCTTATAATATTCTCATTTCCTCCCTGAAAGCAAGGGAAAAGCACGCATAGGAAACATTTAACACAGATTCTGCTCCCCTTTGACTGCTGTTCTCTGATGTAATTGGTGCTGGTTTTTCTTTAGCTGAGCAAACTCTCCATAGCATTGATGCTTTTTGGAGTTGTCACAACAGTGTTTGTGGCTCTGCTGGATTCATTTATTGTGGCTGAAAGGGAATGAACTCTCTGGGAAATGATTGAAGAGTACTGGAACTGAGGAAAGCCTGTGGGTGTTTAACTGTCCAAGGAGATAATGAGATAGACAAAACTTTGATTTTGCAAAGTTGCAAACCTGTATGTGGTGTTTCTTTCTTGTAAACCACTTATTTTTGGGAGTTTGAGAGTAGCTGTGCCCTTCCATAGAGGGAATCCATTCTCTCTCCAAGGAGACATACACCAGAACATTGCTAAAACCTCAGCCCTCAGCCTGGAGAGGTTCCAGCTGTGGCACTGCAGCTGCTGGTTTTTAGGGCTTGGGACAGAAGTGCATGCCTCATTCATTTTCTGTTTTGTCTGCTGGATACTTTGGGTGTTGTTTCAGAAAAATCCAAGTAATTCCATGTCTGTTTATCAGATTTTCTATGTTTACCTTCATTCTGACTCTGACTGCTGCGAACAGTGAGCATTTGGAAATGAGGTGAACCACTAATTGACAGCTTTCCCCAGTTAGCCTGGAAAGTTTATGCAAAAAGAATAAAATAGCAACTCAAATGCAGAACTATAAATAGTTCAGTCAGAGGAACAGATGCTGAGTGAGGCCTGACCTCCCAGCCTGGAGCAGAAGCTGCTTCCCTGCCCTGCTGTGAGTTGGTGCTGGGGTTTGGGCAGGGTCTGTCACTGTGTTTGGGGATCCATTTAGACAGGCATGCCTTATTAAACACTGCACTTTGTTTTCCCCTCTAAACACATTCCCAGTGTCTGTGAAATGCTCCATCTTGGGAAGCAGCTGCTTCTCTGGCACCTGGAGGAATTTCTGTCTGTCTGCTTGCTGGTGAGTGGTGGCAGGCGGGAGGTAAGTCAGGAGGGGATCAGGTCATCAGTTAAATCACTGTTTCGTTGTTAAATCGCTATTGCGATGTAAAATGTCTTTCCTCCAAGGTTGTAAAAGCAAGGAGAGGACTGGGAGCTGGGAAAAGCAAAACGTTTTGGCCCAGGGAAGGGACTAACCTTAGGTTTCTGCTGATATGCTGCCACTGCGGTTCTGTTACCGGGAGTGAAGAGCCAGGTGTGAGCTGGGAATCCCAACGAGAGGTACCAGATGGATGGAGGTGTGGATGAACAGAGTGGGGAGCGCACCCGTGTGCCCAGTGGCAGGAGCAAAGCAATGGACACAAACTGGAACACGGGAGAGTCCCTCTGAGCCTCAGGAACACTCTGTCACTGTGGGGGTGGCTGAGCACTGGCACAGGGTGCCCAGACAGGTTGTGGAGTCCCCTCTTTGGCTGGATCAGGTGTTCTCCAGGTGGCATCCTGACTTTACCTTGTCTTGAGTAAAGTGAAGGAAAGGTAACTCCCAGCTTTTGTTAGGATGTCTGCTTATGGGCTGAAACCCCACTGAGGCTTCCCAGTAAAAAATGAAGGAAGAAAATGCACAGATTTTAGTGACTATAAACATTAACTGCCAGCCAGATAACTTCCAAAAAAGATCAGCTGGGCTGTGGGCCCCAGGCTCTCCAGAAGGGAGTTTAACCAGGACAGAGTTTTGGGGAGCCCATGAGAGCAGGGGCCGCTGGAGCCCCTGCCCTCGGCCCAGCCCGCTCCGTGAAAAGAAGATCAGGTTTTTGTCACTAGCATGGTTTGTCAGCAGGAGCAATTGCTGGGATGTAGATCAGTCCCTCTGTATCTGACTGGCAGTGGGTGGCACCTGCCCCATGAGTCAGAAGGAAGGAGCCAGATCTGGCCCAGGGCCCTCCCCAAAGGCAAATTTACCTTCTTCACCCTCAGGACAAGGGCATGGGCTTCTCCAGAGCTGAACCCAATGATCAATATTGTGCACAGCACAGGCTGTGATGAATTCCTGCTGAAGGGGAGAGCACTGGGATTGCAGCCAGGCTCTTGGGCTGTGCTGGCCTCTCCTGCAGTTTCCCAGTGCTCTGGTGACCTCAGCCCTCTGTCCAGCTCCTCTGCCTCTCTTCCTTCCGCTGATAGGATGCTGCTTGCTGCTGAGATTTTTCCAGTTGAGCACAGGATTGTGCCTTAGTCATCTGAGCAAGGTCCCTTCCTCCCTTTAAAGTTTTCCAGGATTAATTTGACTGTGTATCAGCAGGAAATGACAAGCCACGTCACTCTTTTCTTTTCAAGGGTTTCATACCACACTCTACCTGGGCACACGGCATCTAAGTGGAGAAGCACAGTGAACTCATCAAGTATTACCAGTAGGAAGTGACATTTTTCCTCCTTTTGTTCAGTAAATTCCCTGTGGACTGCAGCAAAAATATTGGAGACATTTTTAAGACAGGAAGGCTGTTCTGGTTTCAGCTTAGACACATTACTGATTTAATTTTCTCTCTAACTTAAACCAAATCTGACTAGTCTAACAATTTTCAAGTGAAGATTGTGAACTGATAACAAGTCCTGAGAATATGACCTGCGTTCAATGCTGGCTCTAACCCTGCTTTAGGATCAGGAAAATGAACCCAGTGTTTCCCTTAAGTGAAGTATTCTTGGCGTGTGGTAGCTTTGAGAGTCCTTCATGAGAAGGACTCCTTCCAGCAGCCGTTTTGGAGCTTGTCCTTCACAGATTGGCAGCACAGGCAGCAGCAGGAGCTCATCTTGGGCAGGTCTGCTCTGATGGTCGAATGCATCTGATTAAATATTTTCCACCTTCTTTAATATTCCTGGACATGGATTTGGCAGTTACAGTGAAACTGTAAATTACAGTGAAAAGTAATCTGTACCATTAGTTAAAACTGTAGAGTGTTTTTCACAGAAGGATTTCTTGACAGTCAAGGGTATGAAACCCTCTTTTTATTGTATATATTTCTTTTTATTTTACAAATAATTATATTCACTGATAGGAATGTTCCTTCACAGAAGGTACATTTTGTTTTTTTTAAAAAGGGGTAGAGTGCCATCCAAAATAAGCCATTTATTGTTCATTAATATAAAATGTGTTCATATTCCTAGGGGGTGTCATATCCAAGCCACTGTTCATCCAGATCTCCTGTATGATCTGCTCCCTGCGCTCGATCCTTTCGGCCAGCTCCGCTGCCTCTGCCGAGTTATACCCTGAGTACGGAGGTCTGTACAGTCCGTCTGTCTCGTCCTGGGTGTCCGAAAGGGAGGAATCCTCCCCCTCCTCCTCCTCCTCCTGTGGTTCGGTGCTCCTGTGGGCTCTGGCACTGTGAGGCACCAGCTGCTCCCTGTTCCCGTGCAGTTTGCGGATGTCCCCGGGACACAGCACGCAGATCACTAAGGCACACAGCGTGAAGATCAGCCCCACACAAACGCTGGACACAAAGAGCAGAGCGAGCCTTTCAGGGTGATCTGCAGGCGAGAGAGCCAGGCCTTAATCACTGTGCAAACTGCCCCAGCAGTCATTCCCCAGTGTTCCATGGGCACAGGGCACCCAAACTCCTGACACAGCCCGACCCTGCCAGCTCTGCCTCTCCAGCTGCTGGGCAAAAATCCGTTCTGGTTCTAGCACTGTCAAATAACAGCATGGCCCCAGCCCTTGGTGAGCAGCTCAGTGCTGCTGTCCGCCAGCTGCCAGAACTCTGCACACCTTGTTTGGTGTTTCCAGCCATGCTGCAAAAACAACCAGGGCCACGAGCAGAGTGACTCTGGGCTCTGCAGGGCCCCGGCAGCATCTCCAGGCCAGGTGAGGAGGGAGCACTTTTCTTCCTTGGCACTTAGTGTTGCTAAGTCACAGAACTGCTTCATCTCACAGCAGAGAAGGCTGGCTTTGGATGGCTTTTTGCTCTTATTTGTTACTCCTTGATGATCCATGTATGTATGCAACCCAGCCTTTCCAAAGATGGATGTCTCCAGTGCTCTCACAGGTCAGGGCTGGGTTTTCAAAAGTACTGAACAACCAACAGTCCCCATTGAAAATTTAAAAATATAAAAATATCTTGGCTGCAGTTGCTAAGAGAGTTTGAATCCCTCAAGGCAAGGAATATTCCTTGAATATCAACTATGCTGGGATTGTCTCATCCACAAGACTGTGATGATACTGTAATATCATTACCATAAAGATGGGATTACTTGTAACCTTTGGAGTTGATCCCCCCTTTTCCCACAATGCTATGATCCAGTGAGCCAAACAATGTGAGCCTCATTTTCCTACCTCTAATATATGCAAATGTAGCCAAGTAGTTGGAGCTAACAACAGTCCCATCTTTCTTTGGGAGTCTCGATTCCCTTGGATCAAGGTCAACACCTGTGACATGAGGAGGTAAAGCAAATTCAATGAAGCTACTAAACTGATATTTTATAAACCCAGTAACTTCCCAGCTAACAAGTCCACCCAAAACACAGGCAGGTCAGTGCTGTGCTCAGGGAGCTGCAGAACACTGGACCAAACAACAGCTGGTAAGTTAAATAAAGTAGAAATAACAAACTATTGAAAATATCAAACATCTAGAAAATGGCAAATTCAGTTAAAATAGTCTATTGCCAAGTGAAACTCCTTGTGCCTATTCCCACTGGGGTTTCTGAAATAATTTTACTTCATGAAGCCTCACAGTTCTCCAGTGGCCTTCCCATGTGCTCCTGTTACTGGGGACACACCTCAGACTCATCCTTAACTTTGTGGCCTTGGAGAAGAGCTGTTGTTGGCATAACTTGTAAAAGACTCTCCACCCTGAAACAGCTGCAATTTCACTTTTACTCTCCCCAGCATGCTGGCTCTGGGCAGGCTGGGCAGGTCGCTCTTCCTGCAGGACTGTGGTCCCACCCTGCTCCCAGCCTGTCCTCTGCTCTCCAACGGGAAGAGCAGCTCTTTCAGCAGGGTTTGCACTGCTCCATCCCAACCCTGTGTCTGTGCAGGTACCTACCATCGTTCTGGTTGATGGAAGACTTGTTATCAGGGACCAGGGGGTTGACTGCTGTCAGGATGAATTTGGGAACTGCAGAGACAAAAGGTAAATTGTGTTCGGTGAGTTTTAAGAGCCCTCTCCCCAGTTAATTATGAATCCCACTGCTAACCTTGGGTTTGTTAACTGGGTTTCTGAGAGTGGAATTGAAGGTTGGACTAGCTCTTGGAGCTCTTTTCCATGACTGTGTGGTTCGTGTGCAGCCAGGGCAGCTCTGGGCTGTGACTGGAGTCGCACCCTGCCTGCTGCAGGAACATCTCCAGACAGCCTGGCACCCTGCCCCTTGTCCTCAGCCCCTCAGGGGTGTGCCAGCCATGGATGGAGACAAAACTGGCCTCTAAATTCAGCACAGACTGGGCTACAGCCAATGCTGAGCATCTAGATACTGGGTTTGGATGAGGGTAATTCACTGTCATTCTAAGATAAATGCTGAAGTCTTGTGTGATGTCATTTGTGAAGCTCTGAGATGGACAGTTGCTGAGGAAGGTGGGGAGGATGGGAATCAATGAGCTGCATCTTTCTCATTGCATTATTTTATTCCCTTGATAAGTGTCCAGTCTTCTCCAAGTAATTAAAAGAACTACAAGGAGGTGCGTTGTAGAGGCATTGAGAGTTCACATATTCTGTAATGGATGAGTGGCCCCTTCAGCCACCCAGACCTTGGCACCTGTTCCTGTGCTATGGGAAGGCTGATTGATTGATTGACTGATTGATTTTCAGACTGACAGTTGGGTAAAAAAGGGAGAAATTTCAAGTATGACACTCACCTCTATCCCACATAGAAACGTTTGCCAAGAAATAGTGTTGAGAGAGTTAAACGGAACAGAGGAGACTGAGGTTTGCAGCTTAGCATAGTTTTCACTTGCAAAACAACTAAAAATAGCACTTCTTTCTGAGCACAACTTTTCTTTCTGTGTGGGCTCAAAGTCAGAGCTGCTTCCTTTCCTGATGAAGGAATCCTTCTGGGAGTCCTTGCTCCTGTTTGCAGTGGAGCCAACAGATCCAGGGGTAAATAAGCTCATTTCTATTTTGTCTTGTACCTCGTGGTGGTTTGTAGCTGTTTTCCAGCAGCAGAATACTTTCCTTGGTGTGGGGGCAGACAGGAGCAGAATTGTTTCCAGCCTGCAGGCTGCATTTGCAGCCCTGGCTGTTCTGAGCACAGCATCTGGGAGGAGGCACCTTCTCCAGTGCAAAGCTCCTGTTGTGGCCTGGGGCTCCTTCACCTGTGCTGATGCTCCTCCTCCTAGGGGAGCTCCCCAGGGCTTTGCTTGCTCTTTTCCTCTGTGCATTCAAATATTTATTGCAGGGGAATGTTTAGTTCAGAATGGCATGGACAGAAAGAGCACCTGGCTGCTTGCATTGCTTGTGTTCATTGTGATGCCTTTCAGATACAAGGATTTGACTGCTATAGGCTACATCAGGTCACTGAACAGAACAGCTGGGACCAGGACAGGAATGTTTATTAAGATAATCACATCTGTATTCCAACTTGTGCCAGCACTGCTTTGGCAGACAGGAGTCAGTCACCTCCTGCTAAAGGCAGCCCACAAAGGGACTCTGGCATGCAGGGAGTGCCAAACACCACGGGGCTGAGGGAGCCTTGTGTCCTGAGAGAGGATTCCCTGATCCACACCAGGGGCTGAGGGAGCCTTGTGTCCTGAGAGGGCATTCCCTGATCCACACCAGCATTCCCTGATCCACATCCCAGGGCTGTTTCCTGAGAGAGGGTTCCCTGATCCTGAATGCAGGCTCAGCCAGAGCCAGGAGCTCCCACCTGGCACAGACAGGAGGAGATGATGCTGAGCAGAGCACTGGGGGCACTGACACTTCGATAAAGCAGCACCTCCCAGCTGCTGTCATGTTTTACTGTCAGGAGTGAAGTGCCAGTGTAAGAATGCAGCCAGACACGCTCCCCCTAAACAGCTGCTGACACTGGGTGGGCAGTGTGGGGCTTTTTCACACCTCCTGACCATGCTAGGAATACTTGGAAGTGTGGTACAGCCCTGAGAACAGAACTGCTCTGCTCTGCTGAGTTCCTGTCACTACAGGGGGAGATCTATTTGCATTATCTTGGGAAGCATCAGATTAGCAGGCATCCTCTAGTGAGGAGAATGAATGGAAACTGCCATTCTGGAATATTCTTCCTGTGTTCACTAGATGATCTGTAAAATAATCGGATCTGCAGATCATTGGCTAATGCTTCACACTGCACAGCCCAGTAAGATTTGGCAGAAGGAAAACTCTTCCAAATGTGCCAGCAGCACAAAAGAACACTATTTGTTACCCACGTGTTTCTGCAAAGCCACATCTCTAAATAACAGAATGCATAATTCCAGTGCCAACAAACTCACAAACAAACTCGCTTTGCTGGTCTGGTACACAGACACGCAAAGAGGAATGACTTCTTGTGATTATGCTCATGCGAATTAAACAGAATTCCATTAGCTCGTTCATAAGGGCAGCTGCACAATAATATAATGTATTGGTGCAATGGCAGATTCCCAGATCTCTCCAATCATAGGAAGGGGAATTACTGCGCCACCTTTCACAGCTGACAAACCAATTCCTGGGCACACTGAAAATCTCCTGGGGCTCATTTTGCTCTGATCTTGAGGCAGAGGTGATCTGGCCATCAATCTCAGTGTTGTTCTTAAAGCATGTCTCAGGTAACCTGTGCCCTTGGAGCACTGCTCACTGGGGATGCAGCCACAGGACTCTGCAGGATGTACCTGTGGAGCTGCTCCTATTGGAGTGTTTTAGGGAATTCTGCTTGCCTCTTAGGAAATTATATTAATCTATAGCTAACAATATGGAAAACTGTTCCCTCTTGTTTGAGGAGTGAGCCGAAGCACTTTTCAGTCCTGCAAGCGATGTATAGCTCAACCCTTTACTTTTCATAAACCCTCACTTGCCTCTCCATGAGCAAGGAAACCCCTCTGTGAGGGAGAAGCTGTACTCAGATGAGTCAGGTTTCAGGACTGGCTTGTACACAGTGCCTCAATTATGCTGCGCTGTTTTACCTGCACTGAGGCCAGGCAATGCCAGTTTGTTTTTTCTAGCTCTGTTGCAGGTGAGCTCTGTGGAACAAACTCTTATCTTGATAGTGTTTCTCAAAAATATTGAACTACCCAGTTGATATTTTATGGTCGGTTGCATTTTTATAGCAAAAACCCCTTAATGTTAGAGCGAGTCTTTGTGAGGTGCTGCTGTGCCCAGGGGCTTGTACACATATTTTGTATGGCTGTGTCCCAAACCTCCTGTGTTTAAGGGAAATGGGTGTTTGGAAGGCTCAGTGCCCACGTGTGGACATGTGTGTGTCTCTGCAAGCAGGAATGAGGCCCTGGAAACGATTGTGCATTTGCTCTTACCACATGCGTAGCTGACATTCAGGGATTTTGTCACTCCAGGCAGGCACGGGCTCCCAAAATCCCGGCTGGTGACAATGACTTTGCATCTCTGCTTCCCATAGCACCTTTTTGATAACACTTCCAGCGCTGTGTAAGACAAACAGTCTGAAAGAAAAACACACACAATAAATATACATCACCTTGGAGTTACCTGGAATGAGAGCTGCTGGATACAGGACTAGAGGTACACCTGAGATCAAGTGCGGATTTGTACCTTGGCCTTAGCAGGAATTCAGGGTTAAACATTAAGATCTGTCAATGCAAGGAAGTCAGCTACAATACAAATGTGAGCTTGCAGCGAGGTAACTCTCCCTTGTTGCCTTACAGGTGCATACTAAGGGTGCAGAAAGAGTCTCATCAAGCCCCAAACAGGTGCCCAATGTAAGGTCTCAATGTTCCATTCAGGATGTGTTGGAAAAAATGAGCACATCCCTATAGCTCTCCATCTATGCCATCTCACATCTAGAGGTGAAATGTTGTTTCCAAGTCAGCCCTGGGTTACTGAGATGACTCAACTGGATATCCAAGTTCAGTTGAAGTCAGCTGAGATCAGTTTTTATGTGTTGCAACAGCTCAGGTTACAGGGAAGTTCAGGGTATTAAAAAGTAGCTTTTGGTTTACTATGAAGAGGTCACAATGTGCTCAATATTTAACCAGGGAAACATGTGCCTTCCAATAATGGGTTTTGCACTGGAGCTGAAATTATTTGAGTGGGAAAGTGTGTGAGTCACACTCCGCTTTACAAAAAAAGAACATCTCTAAATGTGATTAAGTTCTCTGTATCCACATGAGCTAAACTCCAAGCCACACAGCAAAAGCACCCTGTAGCTTTGGTTTCTGAACAGAAAGGCTGCAGAAAGGACAAGTTTGGAGACAGTAATACTTCTCTGAATCTTTTTGCACCACCCCACACAGTGCAGCTTTCTGTGTATGACAGATGTTTCACTCCAAGCTTCTGAGGCCAGGGGCTCTAAAGGCCTGGAATGTCATTCCTGGGGATTAAAGCAGTCCCTACAGTCAAGGATGGCCTCCTGACACCTGCAACTGCAGAAGCTCACTTGTGCCTCTGGAGGAAGGACAAACACTGTTTGCAGAGATACTCCAAAGGTTCCCCGAATCTGTGTGAACAGAAGAGAAGGTTTGAGACTGAGTTCTTGACGTTTAATGTTTGAAAACGGGACAGATTTGTGATTTTTGGAGTAAACTCCCTGACACCAGTACCAAATCAGTCCTATACCTGGGCAGAGCCATCAGAGACACTGGGCTGATCCGTCTGGCAAGGGCTCGTGGGGTGCTTTGGACATGGATTTTAGGACAGAGCTCTTTGACTTTGCAGAGGCCTGAAATCCCAATAGCTGTGTGTCCCAGGAGAGTGCTGGGAAGGCAGGGAAGGGCTGACCTAAAGCAGTGAGTAGTTCTGATTAACTAAACTCAGCAGTTTTAGTTTCCCTTCCTGGCAATTCCAGATGAGTAAGGATATATTTGGATGGATGTTTTAGGCTTACTTTGGCAAGTACAAAACCAACTGGAGAGTATCAGGAGGAGTTGTCAATTGATTAATAAATTAATAGACTGGGAGCACAAAAGAAAACTGGCAAACTGAATTATGTTTTCTATAGAATTCCCTGCCCTGGGAGCTACTCTTGGTGCCTTATAAAGCCAGGAGGATGCTGTGCTGATGGTTTTCTACATATTCAGTGATATGGCAGCTGTGTTCTTCATTTTGCCTTTGTTCATGTTTCTGTGGGACTGAATAGCCTCTTATCATCTCTATCCATGTTGGATTTATATTTATCATTGCAGCCTGCAGTTCTTGGCAGGCCAGCTTGGGAGAGCCACCAAGGCTTGCCTGGTGTCACAGGTCAGTAAATGCAAACCAGGGCTGCTTCTTCTGCAGGACAGGACACACGTTACCTGGAAAGTGTTATAACTTAAACTTATTTAAAACTTCTTGCATTGTGAAAAGGTTTCGGGTTTTAGTGATTTAGTAAAAAATCCTGTCTGGTTTACATGTGGCCTTGCTGCCTTCCCAGCAGTTCTATGATGGATAAATTACCCTCCTCCTGGTCAGACACCTTATTGCAGTGACTGAACGAGGAGAGGTCAGGCTGTGTTTGGAGTACAGGAATCCCATGGAATGGCCCCAGAGAAACCATGGACTGGGAGATGAACATAAATACACCATGAACTGGGAGATGAACATAAATACACCACGTGGCTTCTTCCTGACCAGGTGCTTGTTGATGTACACAGCCATACCTGTCAGAAAACCTGGTACATGGGTTTTCAACAAGCTGCCTCTGGAGAGGCACATTCCCAGAGAGCTCCAAGGCTGGTGGTGCACAAGGCAGCAGTGTGTGCCTGGGAACACTCTCCGCTCTCCATGCCTCTCTCCCAGAGCTGCCTGTCACACACCAAGGCTGTGGTGGATCCTTTGTACCAGACACTGGGACACGGGTGTCAGGAAAGGTTCTTAATGCACTAATAAAGTGTCCAGTCTGACTGCAGCTATTTACCAGTTGGAGCAGAAAGCCTTGTTTCTGCAGGAAAGGCTCTTTCAGCTCCCTAATTAGCTTTGTTTTGGTAAGTTTTGGCATGCAAATGACATGCCATGAATCACACAGGCTTTAATCAGGAGTAATTTGTCTTCTGCTTTCTTAAAGCTGCTCTCAATTCAGACAGGAGGAGCTTTCCCTCCCTTTCCTGCCACCCTGCCACACAAAACCTGCAGGTGCTGGAGCATCTTGTGCCTGTCTCAGCCTCTCCAAACGCTTCCAGCTGCTTTCATCCCCAACTGCTCCGCACTTACTGTGCCCACACACAGAAGAATAAGGAGCTCCCTTTTAAAATCAACTGCAAGCCAAGATTTCACACCTCCAAATCAGGATGGCTTGTGCTTTGTGGAGCCCAGATACCAGCCGTGGGGACATGAACTGACAAGGGAAAACTGTGGAGTTTGGAGCAAGCTGAGGCTGCAGGCTCCTAAAGAAAGCTGCTGAAATAAGATGGTAATTTATGCAAGAGCATGGACACAGAGTCCTGCCTGTGCATCAGAACAGGGCCATGGAACTGCTGATTGCAGCAGAAACACACAATGTGAGCAGCAGCACTTGTGGACAAAAAACCCAAACGTGGTGTGTCTGTCCTCCTTGCAGATGGGTGTGCAGGGTGGGGGTCCGTCCCACCAAGGGCCAAGAGTGGCTGATCCCCATTTCCTGGCAGCAGAAACCCCACTCCCTGCTCCTGCACAGACAGGAGCTCCTGCCTCCTGCTGGACTTGAGGGCCACGTGTACCTTTCCAAACCTTTCACAAAAATAGACCCAAGAACCCCTGAACTGCTGGTAAAGAAATCATTGCTGGTTAAAGGGATGTGTGTCTCAGTGTGCTCCAAGCAACTTCCACCAGCAAAATCTGATCCTCCATGTTCATCTCAGAGCAAAGTTATTTGGACTCTAAAAATGGTGGCTGGTCTGCTCCTGCCTTCAAATAATCACTCCTCATCCTGCTGCTGCACTGCAAACCTCTTCTTTTAAGGGATTTTTGTCTTGACAACATTGACTGGGGCAGAGGGGTGCAATGGCTCCTACTGGCACCTCTTGGGGCCCGAAGCACCAATTTATCTTCTCAGTTTGCTCAGGCTGATACAGGCAAGGGCCTTTTCATAGCTGATGTCTGCACCTAGAGCGAGCTGACTTAAAGGGGTTTTGTGATGGAAGCAAAATTGAACTGTTTTATCCTTGCTTTTGCATCCACAAAATTCATTTGGTTCCTGTCTCCCATGCCCAAAGTGCCAGGGCAGTGTGGAAACATTTCCAGATCTGCCTAAAGCTGCCTGTACCTTCACTGCTGCTCCTTCTGCTCTCGAGAGCTTCCCAGGGCACAGGCTCACACCAGGCAAAGATACAGCTCTTATTAAGAGACAGAAACCAAAAGCTTTTCAATCAGTCAGTGGATAAAAGGCCCTTTGAATTGGCTACAATATCCAAGCAAACAAACAAACAAAAATAATCACAGCATCAGAGAATCCTGTTCCATTAAAAAAATCATGATACCTAGCTGGACTGGAAGGAACCTACAGGATTCTGAAAACCCCCCTTGGCTTGACTTTCTCAGCCCTTGTTCTTCCCTGAATTCCACTGGGAATAAAGAGGAGACTAGGCCAAGCAGGGTTTGCCTCGGCACAGTGCAAGCTGTGAGGAGAGTTTGAATTCTCCACCTTCCACAAGTGGGGCTGGGTAACAGCAAGGGCAGTACTGGAAGGAGCAATGAGAATGTGACAGGGCTGTACCTCAGGGCTCTGCTGCCCGTGCTGCTTGAGGGAACACACATCTGACCAGCCAGTGTGCCTCCAGGGAATCTCTGGCAGGATATTGCAGTGTTCTGGCTTGCAAGCTGAGCCTGGAGACGACCCGCTACCAAGCCTTCTTTCAAGTATTTTCATGTATTAACAAGAGTAATTTATTATTTGAGAGGTGTTTGTTGACCTGAATCTTCCTGGTGCTCTCTATGGTAACCTGTTCTGGCACAATTCTTAAACTCTTGTCCAATAAATTTTCTGTGTCCTCCTGCACATGTTAGTACAAATATCAAAGAGATAATGGGTCAGAAAAGGCAGCAATTCTCACAGGAACAAACTGCTATGGTTTCCTGCTTTGGGGCTGGGCACAATGGATTCCTCTAGGCAGAACCATCTGCTCCAGAACCACACCCAGAATTTTCTTGTGAAGTTTTTCATAGTCTTGGTAAAACAGGAAAGTTGCTGGCTGGAGATTCTGTGCAGGTTTAACAGTGCCAGGCACTGGGACAGCTGCAGAAGCTGGCTTTTACCATCAAACTGGCTCAGAGAACCAGCTGCATGAGCAGATACTCATGCTAAAGGTGGAGGGGGAGGCTCAGGGTCCTACAAGTGCCCAAGGGCACACAGATCCCTCCTGCAGCAGAGATGGATTTATACAGTTTATTTCCTGTATGGAGAAGAGCCTTTATGCCAAAGAAATGTTTTCCTGGGCTCCCTTTGAGGCAAAGCTCTGAAAATCTGCCAGCTGATTTAAAGGCGGTTCACAGAACAGCAGTGCTTGAGAACCCATCTGTGCCAGCCCAAAGCTGCCGTCTGTCTGTCCCACCCAAAGCTGCCGTCTGTCTGTGCCACCCAAAGCTGCTGTCTGTCTGTCCCACCCAAAGCTGCTGTCTGTCTGTCCCAGCCCAAAGCTGCTGTCTGTCCCTGCTATCACACACACACCAGCAGGCAGCCACCATCTCGAGGAGCATCCCATCAATACCCAGCACACCTGGCAGGACCCTGTCAGGTATGGAGAGATGCAAACCTTTGGAGCTCACCAGAGACTTTGTGGGCCTGTCTGGGACCTGTGGGTAACTTCTCTTCTGCACAGTGCTACAAGAGTCACCTCACAGTTTCTCTGTGAAGCCGTGAACGAACTGGAATGGCTGGAGCACTGCCCTCAGGCTGAGTTGCACCAATGTGAGCAGAAACAACAATTGATGTGTGTTGGAGCTCTTCAGCTTTTGGTGCAAACATAAATGTGTGCATGGGTTCTGGTTCAGGAGGGAAGAGCTGTCCCAAGTCATTACATTGAAATTACCATTGTTTTCTCTGAGAGAAAGGTACACAGTCATTGCAGAAATCTAATCATGCACCCACTCACATCTGTAGGTGCTTACACAACCACAGAAATAAGATTCAGGCTCGTGACAGAGAGATCTGGAGCCAGTTGGGTCTGGCTCCTAAGTGCCAAATTTCTGTGATAACTGAGTGTGAACTCCCACCCCACACAGGGGCTCTTGGAAATTCCACAGAATTCCTGCAGAAAGTCCCTGGTACCACACAGGAAGAGGCCAAGCACTTCCACTAAGCAGTAGGAAATCTGATCTACCTTCTGTAGACCTGCTTTGTGTTTGTCTCAGGCTTTATGCTCTCTCCTGCTGTCCTAGGCTGCTTTCCATAGCTCAGAACCAGTGCCAGCCAGGGTGCTGCTGCACAGCTGCTCCTGCACAGGGGCCACAGCACAGCTTGCTGCTCCTGCAGATTCTTTATCCTGGGAAACTTTATCCTTAGGAAAGGTTTGCAGAATTCTGATCTGTGGACTGTGAGTGCTGGCATTAGAGGCAAGGGAGGGATTTTGAGGGGTCAGTGAAGTGCAAGACATGAGTGTGGTGGCAGCCTGTCCTGATCAGAGAGGCTCTGCCCTGCCTTGTGTCACCTGTTAATGCCACTGTCATGAGGGCTGTGGGGCCTGCCAGAGACCTGCTGAAATGTTCTCCGCAGGACAGACAGGCACAGCTAAGTCTGTGTAAGGGCCCAAGAGAGCTGGTGTGAAACACAGACCTGGCAATATTAAATAGGTTCTTGTCTAAGAACAGATTGTGATTTTCAGCCAATAAATTTCTAATAGCATCTATGTAACTAAATAGAAACATTGGCTTGCAGACAAAGGGCTCTTAAGATGAATTATTGATCTCTTGATGTTCAGAGATGCTTGTCATAGGCATGTAAAAGATGTTTCTAAGGAGCAATGTTAAGCCCAGGGCTGGTGTCAGTCATGCAAGCCCTTCCCTGTGTGGTACCAAGGGGTTGGAACAGCACACTCATCTGCTGGCCTTCTCAAGGTGTGCAAAGTTACCTTTGTGCCCTTGCTGTCACCACTGAACCTGTTATTCAGTTAGTCCTAGGTACACAGGACATTCCTGACTGGGTGCCAGGGAGAAGTCCCAGGGACATTTAACTCCCCAGTGTGCCACCACAGCCTTGGGCTCTGCTCATCCAACAGCATCCAAAGCAATGGCCCTGCCCCAGGGACCCTCTGTGCAGTCTGCAGCTAATGCAGGGAACATCTGGCACACACAGGGATCAGAGAACAAGGAGCAGTAACACACAGAATCCTGACACTCAGGTCACCTGGTCACTGTCAGAAGCTGGAGGAGGAAGAGAGACCAACAGATGATATTTATTATTTGTCACCTAAATTCAAGACAGGCAAGGGAACTAGTTCTTGATGCCAATCATATGAAGAACTGATTAACTATGTGAAAGTTCATTACTTTGCTGCATTTCTCACCCTCTGTTCCTCCCTCATACAGGGCCATTTGTTTGAGTTTCAGAAACAATCTCTCTCACTTTTCCATCACAGATGCTTTCAGAACACCATTGCTCCTGCAGCTGCAGTTTCTCCCCCCTGTGTTCCTGCTCCCTGTGCTCCTGCCTGGAGAATCCCTCAGTGGTGCCCAGACATACCAAAGGGGGGTGAGTGCTCCGCCTGGGTTGAGCAGACGCTCTCCTCGTGTGCCCATCTGCCATAGGTGGCCGAGTAGATGATCAGGAACTTGGATTCCTGACAGTGGAGCTTCAGTTCCTGGTTCTCACATGCTGATTTGGTTTTGTATTCAGCTGGAGTAGAAGCAAACAGCAATATGATAGCGTGAGGCAATTTAAATGGCTGGGCTGTTAATAGCAGATAGCAGCAGGACAGAAACAGCTTTCCTGCCAATGCTGTTGAAGTGGCACGTGGCACCTGTACAGCCAGACACAAAGTCAAGAGCAGAGAGCTCCTTCCAAATGAATTGTGCCCAGGTGACCGTCTAGGGCCTGTGGCTCCATCTTGAAGAGAACAGAAAACCCTCATTTTGTCCATCTCCTTTCCCTGCTTTCCTGGCTTTCTTTGCACTCCTGCTCAGCCAGAGAAGTTTCACCCTTCCCTTCTGTCTCTCCTGGGGACCCTGTTGCATTCTGCACGTGCCTCAGTCACCTGGCACCGCTCAGTGACAGCGCTGGGCGAGGCAGGGACAATGGCAGGGACAACGGCAGGGACAAGGGCAGGACACAAGGGCAGGACACAAGGGCAGGACAGGTCCCCATCCCAGCCCCGCAGTGCTCTCAGCTGTACCTGCACTGCTCCCCCAAGGCCACTGTGCTTCCCTGGGTGGCACCATCCAGCAAGGGCTCATTTCAAAGTCTGGCTGGCAAGGTGATGTGAATTAGGAGCCTGAAATAATCCCCCTCCCTTGCTCAGCTGGCACAGGCACCCTGGCAGCGCCCTCAGCAGAGGTGGGGAGGCGCTGAGCTCACCCGTATGGCTTATCCCTGCTGTGAGCCTGCCACCTGGCCACCAGGGCTCTCCCGGCCTGAGCAGCCGCTCTGCTGGTGGCACTCCACCTTCTTAAATCCTTCTGGTTGAGCTGTGCTGCCAGCCCTTTCTACTGCAGATAAGGTCAGGGGGAAGAGTTTATTCTCCTCCAGTTTTTCTGTCCTCAAAAATGTGAAAACAGGAAAAGGAGATTGCTGAGCTGAGCAGAAGAAAAGGGAAACCTCATTGTTAGTGAGTGAAGGGTGGATGCTGGTTCTTTGGGAACTGGAGAGAAAAACCTCCTATGTACTCATGAATGAAAACTCTGTTGTTTCATCCAGAACAGAACAGATAAAACAATGGGTTCATGGTCCTGGTAAAAGTCCAGTTTTTTTCCATTCGAGCTCATCAACAGCCACGAGCTTAAGTGTAAAAAGTGATTTTGAAAAATATTTTGAAAACATTTTTGGAAACATTTTGAAAAATACTTGAGCTCCTGCAGGTTGTGAGTTCTGCAGAAGCATGTGCCATGCTGTGCACACATAAACAGGCCAGACCCTGGGGTCTGTGCCCAAGGACTGATTGAGAGCCTGCAGCTGCACTCTGGGTTTGCCTGGCTCTGCTGGAGAGGCTGTGGAATTTTGTATAACCCCAAGTGGTACCAGGCAAGGAGAGCCCAACATAAACCTCTGCAAAGACATGGCAGCAATAATTCTAAATAGCTGAAAACCCAAGTGATTTAGACAACTGCTTCAGTGGCCACTTGAAGGCAAGGAGACTGCAAAATATACCTGAAGTTATCCTGCAGGGATTTCCTGAGCAAGGGTGTTTTCCACTGCCAAGACTAACAATATTGGTATCTTACCCACAAATATCAATTTCCTGTCACTAGAAATCATGTCATTTGCACTGGAATTGGACTAGTCCTCAATTCTGAAGGCAGCAGCTGCTGTTGAATACATTTTTGACCAGCTTTTTAAAAATTCAGATCACAGAAAATACTATATACTTAAAGAAGCTCATCTCCCATGGGAAAAAATATTGAGCAGCTTCTGAAAGTAATGAACAGGGTCCCAATTCACTTTTGATTAGCAAAAAAAGATTTCTAATGACACAGACACTGCTATGATATTCAAATCCATCTGCTATTAATAATGGACTATTAATCTACAATTGGTAATTGCAATATACAAAAATAATTAAACTATTGATATAATAAAACAGATAATGAAAATTTTAAATTCCATGCATTTTTCCCCCTAATGATTGTCCCAGTGTATCTCTCTGGGAGTTCCTGAGTCAGTGCTTTACCAAAGGTAACATCGGCCTGCTCCACTCCATCTCTCTGCTCTGGCTTCCACTTCCCACGGTGAGCTGGCCCGTCAGTCTGCTTGCCCCCTGCTCCTGTCCTACCCCTGATATCTATCTTAGTGCCCTGATCAAAGAAACCCCTTGGTGCTTCTCTGAGGTCGGTGTTTCTGGGGTGGCTGGTGAACCCGCCCATAAATCATCGCCCGGCTGTTTTCTTTGGGACCCACTGCAGCCACAGCGGGAATTCACTGGGAAGAGCGGAGCCCCCGGGCTACTGGAGCTCGTTCTCACATACCACAGCAACAATGAGAACGATTACAAACCACCAGGAGAGGAAACCTCATCAGGATTATCTTAATCGTCCTTCCCCTTTCTCGTGTTTACCAATCGGATTCCCTTTGAGGCAGGATTTGTCCCTTCACTTCAGCATGGAATTCCTGCACAGAGCACAGGTGATTCTTCAATAAAGGCCTCTACCCAAGTCAGCACATGTATCTTCTGGCCATTATTCCATACACAGGAGGTATTTTTCAATCTTTGAAAGCTTTGGGCCTCGCTCCTTAAGTGTTTTTTGCATATTCCTCCCTAGGATACCTTCTTCATTTGGATCCTTAGCCCAAGCACGTAGTTTTGCTGCTCAGCTCTTTCTTATATGACATTATCACTGCTATGTCACTGAAAATAATTTCCATAACATTTTTCCTTTCTAGTCTGATGTCTGACATCTGCCCTTGCCAAAGTACACTGCTCATTAAAGCACCCTGAAGCGGCAAACACAATGGAGAGCTAAGCTAAAGTAGAAAAGAACAATTTGTTATCAATCCAAGAGCCCCAAAACCTCACATGGATTTATGCAAAGCCTTGTGCAGAGGCATTTTAACCCAAACAAGCAACAAAACACGCAGAAAAACACATTTGCCTGATAAAGATTACTTACTAGGTTTGCATTTAAAGGAGACAAGGAGGAATTTAGTGGTCCCTGGACACAGATCAGGCCCAAAAACCCGACTATTGACAAGGAGCTGGCAGGATCTCAGGTTTTGGCATTCATCCAGTACTTTCTAGAACAATGGGCAAAAAGGATAGTCTTGACAACAAGGTATGAAGTTGTACAGCAATGAAAACACTTAGTTGTACTTTGTTCTACATAGGAGAGAAATCACAGCTTTTAGGCTATAAACATGCAAGAAACATCTGCATCATTGGATCCAGGCCACAGCTGTGCTGGGCTTGGAGTCATGGGAAGTTTATGGGAACCATTCATCACAGCCACGCTCACAGCACATGAGGATGCCACCGACTTGGTGTTTGTCACTTCTCCCTCTGCCCCTGGGGAGACTGGCCAAGGTGCCCTGAGTGCCACCACAGCCTCGATGGTGCAGAGCCAGAGCACAGGGAGACACACAGAGCCCCAGCTGTCACACCTGAGGCACTGGGACACTCCTGGGCACATTTATGGGAGTGCAATGTCCAGGGAAAGCAACAAAAAAGGTGTCTTCATAACCACTTCTTGCTCTGCTTACATGGGCCTGAACATGCTCTGTAAATACCCTTTCCTTGGAAGAGTCTGACTAGTGACAGGTGCCACTCAAGCTGTAAGCCATGTGTGGAGCCTCCTGCTTAAGGGACACTTCCTTCTGGCTTGCAGTTTCCCACATTATCAGGTATTCACTTGACTTGGCACCAGTAAATTCCAGGATTGGTGTGATTGGGCAGCACAGATGTGCAAGTCTATCCTCAGCCTCCATGTCTGGTTTTGTGGGGTGTTTTCAGTGCTGTTCTAAGGCCATATCTACTCCAAATTCACTGGCCCAGCAATAGATCCTGGTCCTGACAGTGCAGCCTCCCTGGGAGTGGCAGCAGAGCCAGAGCACAGCAGGTCAGCAGTGTCATACACAAAGTGTTGTGTGGCAAAAGGACAGAGTGCCTGCACTGCTCACACTGGTGCTCCCACTCCAGCTGTGCTCTTGGAACTGCAGCTGCAGAAAACATGAAACCCTTGCCAGGGCCAGTCTGTCCAGCTTTTAACAGTCACAAGCCAAACACCTAAAACCATCCAGGTTAAATGCAGCAGTGCATTTAGGAATTCTTATTTGCCTCCAAAACTCAGTTAATGGAGGGCTTTTCTGACACTGTTTCTGGATAGTCTGTGTGGTTGTACACAGGATTCATGGTGTTTAAAATCCCAGCAGGCTGTGACAGAGGACAGGGTTTTTGGATATTCTGTGTGGTTATACACAGGATTCGTGGTGTTTGAAATCCCAGCAGGCTGTGACAAAGGAGGATGTTTGTTATCTCCAGGTCACCCCACTCTTGGCAGAAGTAACTGTAATAACCCATTCTGATAGTTTGAGGTTGTCACTCAAAATCTATGGAAATTTTTGCTTTTCTTCTCATCAGAAGAGGTCTCAGTGATACCAAGAGACCAAATGACAGATTTCCCACTGTGGTGGCACAAGCTGCATTCCTGTTTCCAGGCTGAGAGAGCTGGCAGTGGCTGGGTCTCTGTGTCATCACTGGAAACCTTCCCTCCAAGCAGCAGTGACACACATTGGCAGCACATTGCAGTGACCCTGCAGCTCCCATTGGCAGGAAGAGAGGACATGCATCCAACACTTTTTCAGCATTAAATGCACTCTAAAGAGTTTAAAAGGGAAGGAAAGCACAGCAGACTTAATTCTGTCAGTCAATTTTCCTTTTACAGAGTTGCAAGTAGAAAAAATAACTCCTTGTTGATTGGGATAGTTCTGGAAGGGAGCAGTGAAACAGAGTTACATCTTCAGTAAACAGAGATAGCTGTCCCCTGCTGAGTCACCTTCTGTTTGCACCTGAGCTGAATCATCTCCTGTGCATCTGTTTGTGTTTTCTGCTGCCTAATGTGAGCAGCCCTGTCATGATGCTGTGCAGAGCCACAAAAGCAAACAGTGATACCAAAATAGCACGGGGCAGTCACAGTCTGCAGCCAGACCAGCTTTGCATGAGCCCTCTGGCATACAGAGTGCCTGTGGTGCTTCCTCCAGCTACAGGGCACCGTCAGCTGCTGTGCACACTGCAGATTCCAAAGGGAAGGGAGGGAGGCATGAGGTCACTGCTGCTCTTTTCTAAGAAATCACTTTACAAGATGTAACAGAACTGGAACTCCCTGAGATGCAGAGCATTTGCATCTGACACAAATTCATGGCCTTGCCAAAATGCTTTCCTGCCTCTGATCAGCCCCAGTGCCCAAATGATGATGGTAGTTTATAGAACAGTTACCCCATGCTGTGTTTATTATATTCCAGGGGAAAAGCTGCCCGTGGAGACCTCACAAAGGCACTCACAAGCCCAAAATAATAGCTGGTGCCACTTTACTGCAGCCAGCAATATAACATTAAGGATGCATCTGGCCTGCTGTTTTTGGTGGAGAGATGTACTTTCACATGGCCCACAGGTCATGTCTGGAATGTCCTCAAAAATTGCAGTACATCATGGGCGAGCCGCACTTATAAAACTGCCCTAACGCTGTTTCTACAGAGAGGATTTTACTGCCAAACCTCTTCATAATACCCTTCAGCTCAGTGGTGGTGGGAACAGACATTCCTGATGTCAAGAAGGAACATGTGGCCTACAGACAGAAACGGAGCTGCAAACTCCATCAAAACTTCTGTAAAGCATTTACAAGTTTAACAAACAGAACATGTTCAATTCCACTGACTACTCATTTTTGCAAGGATTTACTGAATTTGGAACAACACTGGGTATTTTTCACTAAGATGGAGCAAGCCTTTGACAGCAGGGTAAGTCAGACCTTGTTACAAAAGTCTCTGCAGCAGAAAGTAATAATTGATGAAGTATAAATCATTTTAGGTTATACTGAAGCAGGCCCAGCAAACAAGCCACAGGATGTTGCTGACACAAATCAGGCAGACACAGAAATGCAGGTACCTGCAGAAGTTCTTTGGATTTGCTATTTAGCTGTTGCTGTGCCTTTGCAGTGAGGGAAGACAGGCATGCGGCAAGCCAAATGCCACCCAGCATGTCATCTTATGTTATCAGCTGGATTTGTAACTCTGCTCTGTCCGGGGCTTGTATCCTCCCCGCGGGCCAAGGAGGGCCTGTGTGATGGATTAGGACTGGTCAGCTCAGTCATGGGCAGCCCTTGAATGGAAAGGAGCAGACTGTTTTAGGGAACTTTAGGAATGGGGTTTCCAAAGCCAGGTTCATCACAATGGAAGGCAATCTCCAGAGCTCTCACAATCCCATGGTAATCCCCTGCTGTCCAGACAAACCCTTCCAGCTGTAACACTTTGGGTGGTGTCACAGCTACAGAGCTGTCTCGTTCCAGGTTGAGAACACTTGCACAGAAGCGGCAGGGAAACCATTCTGTCCCTTGAGAACGTTTACAACACGCGGTACCTGCAGAGAGGTGGGTGCCACGCAGTCCCTGGGCTCTGCCATGCTGGCTCCGGGCTGCCCAGCCCTGCACACGCGGGGGTCCTGCCCGTAGAAGGCTGACTGCACGCTGATGGTGGAGTGCCGAGGGCAGTGCAGGCTCAGGTGCTGCCCGTCGCAGGCCTGCGCCGTGTGGTTCTGCAGCAGCTTCGTGAGGTAACCTGGAAAACACGGGAAACATTCAGCCTGTTACCACCAGCACAGGAAATGACAAGCGCCTTAGATAATCAGAAAACCACAGCCAGCCTCCGGAAAGGGCACTGCAGTCAAGGTTACAGGTCTGGCCTGCAGCCACCCAGCTCTCTGAATGGGTCACCCTGATGTGCTCCCTGCACTCAGGCTGGGAACACGAGGGCTGGGGCAGGGCATGGGAGCCCTCCCAGCACTGCAGCAGGATGTGTTGTATGGACAATCCAGGACTCAGCCCTGGCTGCTCACGGTCCCAGGGCGTGTGAGCCCTCCCAGCAATCCAGCAGGATGTGTTGTATGGACAATCCAGGACTCAGCCCTGGCTGCTCACGGTCCCAGGGCGTGTGAGCCCTCCCAGCAATCCAGCAGGATGTGTTGTAGGGACAATCCAGGGCTCAGCCCTGGCTGCTCACAGTGCCAGGGTGTGTCTGCAGCAGCCAGAAGGGCATTGCTGGGTTTTCTGGGCCAGGCTCTTGCATTCCAGCTACCTAAGGTATTATTCCTTATATGTCTTGTTGAAAGGATGTGCTGCACTTTCGGGCTGGTGGGCAGCTGTGTTTCACACACTCTTATATATATATATATATATATATATATATATATATAAAATGGAGGAAAAAACCCCTCACATTTTCTTGAGGGAACATTTCTTGTTGTGGCCGAATCAGGAGATTTTTTGTACTGTTAAAACAAAAATTAGTTTTCTTAAAGAGAATATTGAAAAAAAGGTCACTCCTTTTATTTAATTAAAATTTGCCCTTTAAGTAAAATATGCCATTTAATTTTCACACTTCTGCCATTCATAAACTTTCCCCAAAGACAAGCGATTTTCAGAAAAGTTTTTAAATAGAAACTTTAGTATTCCAAGGAAAAGATAGGAAAATAATGTAATCATAGAATGGCTTGGGTTGGGAAGTTCCTTAAAGATCTCCTAATTCCAACCCCCTGCTCCCTTCCACTAGAACAGATTGCTCAGAGCTCCATCCAGCCTGGCCTTGAACACTTCCAGGGATGGGTCAGACATGTCAGTTCCCTGGCATCTTTTCCAGCCCCAGCTGTGCATCTGGATAAGGAAAACCAGCTTCCCTGTCAGCTGTTGAGTCTGGAGGAGCCTGCTCCACTGTTACCTTTCCTGTTTGCCTGTCGAGAGCCCAGGCAGGACAGGAGCCAGGCAGATGCACCTCCAGGGCAGCAGAGCTGTAGCTGAGTTCCCCTCACTGACCTCAGGCTGGGCCCTGGAGCTGGGACAGGACGAATTTCATGCTCTGCATTTGCACTCTGGAGCTCAAGGAGAACGGTCTGGCAGCAACCCCACAGTTTCTCACGGGTTAAAAACAATAACCAAGTTCACAAGCAGACCCATCCCCTTCATTTTCTGTGTAACTGAGATCACAAATAGCTGGAGTTCCTTGCCAGAGCCCCTCCTCTGTCAGGCTGCTCCCGAGAGGTGCCAGGGAAATGGGCCGGGTGCCCAGGTGCGCCCGGGTGACTCCACCGTGGCCAGGGCTGCAGAGGGGCTCCTGCGGCACCGCTCTGGCATCACCCCCGTGCCACAGGGGCCACAGGGGCAGGGCATGCAGCCCTGCATGGGCTGTGGGCACCCCACACCCTCACAGGTACCACCCAATAGGTTCAATCATTTCAGTTCTTCAGGTTTTAAGTTACGTGGGGCCAAGAGTGCTGGATACAAAACAGTCCAGTATTCCCTAAAGAATATCAGCTATGCTGTGATTTGGATGAGTTCCCTGGCATCTTAACTGCTACTTTGATCCTGCAAATTCCTAATCCAGCACCTAAGCACCTTTCTCCAACAATTGCAACTATTCAATCCTCTAAGAAAATGTCTTTACAAAAAACTTGCTCTGATTCTGTAGGAGCAATATGGTTCACTTGTAAAAATTACATTAGATGGACTGGTGAAAATAAGATATCTTGCTCTCCAGCCTTCCAAGCAGCTTAAACATGACTCTGCTGTCACTAAAATCCTTGTGTATTTGCACACAATGAGGGATAAAAATAGTAATGGAAATTGCTGAAACCTAATGTTCTCTGATAAGAGGAGTGGTGACACAGTATCTGAGTTGCTCATCTCACAAGGCAGCCCAGGTAAAGCTGCATTTTTCATTACTGCACACACAGACACGCGTGGAGCAGTCAGTCAGTCCTTGGCAGCTCACAGCCCGTGCTGAGGGAGAACTCCCACCCCAAAGTCACAATTTCCTCCCACCCTTCTCTGAAAAACCCCAGGCTCTTTCCTGTCCCCTCTCCTCATGGGGGGCACTGCCTGCCCTGCACCCATCAGTTTCCTCAGCAGCTGCTGCTTCTCCTCCTTCCCTGGGCAGTGTGGGCTGCAGTCCCCTGGCAGAACCTTCATCCTCCTGAGACCATTGCATCCCTGTACTGTTACTGACTTCTACTCAGAAACAGATTTCCCTGGAGGGAGTGAATTCAGCCAAACCACAAGGTAAAGCTGGGGGGAAATCGGGTGTGATCTCTGATGCCAGTAGTAACAGCCATGGTGATCAGAGTGAGGGCATTGGGAGGGTTGAACTCTCCTGGGGCAGTTCCCTGTCCTCTCCTTCTGTGTTTACTCCATCAGTATCAGTTAGCTGGGAATTTGGGGAAAACTTTCTTTTACTGGCTAAATATGGGAGCTGGACTACAGCAGCCCCGGAGTCCTGGTCCCCTGCATGCCAGAGAAGCCTTTCCCAGCCCCTGGATGGCCAGGGAGATTCCCTTTCCCCAAGAGCAGGGCAGAGGGAGGGCTGGAGCACAGCCAGCACCCATGCAGTGAGGCCATGGCTCTGTGTTCACTTGGGCTGGGCAATCAGAACACTTGTGAGTTTTGGAGTGTCTGACCCTGAGCAAAGAGAATCATAACCAGACCCTATAAAAAACCTCCAATTACTTAATGTTTTAAACCTAATATTGTTTTTTATTTCCTTGTTTTCTGGGTTAGGTAGTGGAGGGGGAGATGGTGTTCAGCTGCACCAGTTACTTTTCCAAGTATCATTCTGTAATGAGGAGGGGTTTAAAGTTCCTCTTTTTCCAGAAATAATAAATGTCACTCTTTAAAACAATATGAAACTCTACCAAAAAAGCTAACTGCCATGAGAATTGTCTAAATTAGGAAGCCTGGCACTACTGCAGTGTCCCAGTAACATCTGTACACCCTGTGTGAAAGCCCCACCAGGCACTCTCCCATTTATCCAGGACACACACTCATGGCAATGCATGGAGTGCCCTGCATCTGGAATCATGCACGAGACATTAGAGGCTGGCTCAGAAGTTAAGCCCAAAGCACACAGGCACAAAAAGATCCCATTATTGGGAGGCCAGAAGGTATCATCCCACCCAACTGTCTGTCTAACCCAGACCGCTCACTCATTGTGATCTTTTACTGAGACTCAAACACCAGCACAGCATCCAGGCATAATCCTTTCTTGCAGAATTAGCCAAATTAGTCACAGCATCCACTGGCTTGACAAAGAACTTCAACTGAAAAAACATAGCACCAGAGAACCACACAAAACACTGAGGCTGAGCAGCTGGACAAAGCCCTACTGATCACTTTTCACTGAAAAGACAACTGATAAATGATTTTAAAAATGACTGACAAAAAAAACCCCAAAACTGGCATAGGAGAATAAATAGATATTTCTTTGTATGAGAAAGAATTCTTAAGGGGTTATAGCTGGCAGAATCACTTTGAATAGCAACAATAAGAGTAGCAGTGGACCTGAAGGTATGGAAATCCAAATATTTTTTTTCTGATGAAAAGCACTGAGAATCTGGGAATTTAGAAAGTTCTGTGTGTGTTTGAGCTCCCTAGATGCAAGGATCAGGGAGAAGAGCATTCCAGGCTGTGAGCCCAGTGCCCAGCACACAGTAAAAGCAATCTCAGCCTTGGCTCAGGTGATGTTTCTTGGGTAGGACAGCAGCTTTGCAGTGCAGTATTTTTAGAGGCTGAGGCTGAGCAGTCCACAGGCCGTGGAGGTTCTCAGAACTGGGCCTTCACACACAGATTTAGTAACACAGTTCCTGTGTATCGTTCAATTTAGTTTCATTAGCACAGAAATTTGCCGGCTCATTTTAAAGACATACCCATCTATTTTAGAGCAAAATGGATAGAAATAGCACACGTATTGTTGTGGGAGTCCCAGAAGGATAATCCATCCGGTAAATCTCCATCAGCTTCCACAGCTCTCTGTGAAGAACTGTGCCAACTCTCATTAAAAATACACAAGGCAGCTGGGTGAATCTGAAGGAAGATATTTCATGCAGTGATAGCAGAATAGTTGATAACCTCTACTACAAACACCATTGGAAGCACGGCTCTGATATTGATTGGTGTTTGGTGCTGCAGCACTTCTCCAGCAGTGTTTTCTCTGTTGGCTTGTGAAGGAAGCACTGAGGAGAAATGAATTCCTGAGTTTCAGCCCCAATCCCACCTGCCACACCCTCTGCTGCTCTTGGGGCAGCTCTGCCACAGGTCCTGCTGTGCCAGGGCTCTCTGTGCACAGGGACAGGGATCTCTGGGCATTCCTGTCACCTGCCTGTGCCACAGGTCCTGCTGTGCCAGGGCTCTCTGTGCACAGGGACAGGGATCTCTGGGCATTCCTGTCACCTGCCTGTGCCACAGGTCCTGCTGTGCCAGGGCTCTCTGTGCACAGGGATCTCTGGGCATTCCCTGTCACCTGCTGTCTGTAAATTGGCTGCAATGTTTCTAAAAGTCATGGCACTACATTTCTTGCTTCATCGTTTTATTCCTTTTTATCTAAGTGTCTTGTCAACATCCTGTTTGACTCATTCTAGCCACACTGCACGTCTCAATCTTTGATCAGTAAGAAATACACTTAGACAGAAGCATTGATTATTCTTGCTGTTCAGAAATTAGCACAATTAGCTTTACTCAGCATATGCACATAAAAATATGTAATTCTTTAATATATGCCTTCTTGCATGTCACCAA